AACATGTTTTCTTTTTTTTAAATTTTGGGCCGATTTAAATCTTGTATGGAAACATTTTAAAATCCAGGTTCAGAATCTTTTGAAATTCTGGTGATGCCTATTTGAGCAGAGCGACGACAGGTAGAAGCTGATGGATCCTCAAGGACACTCTGCCGTACAGCTTCCATCGCTGCTTAGGATCTTTTCTCGGAACTGATTCAGTTCCTTTCTAACCAGGCGATCACTTTCTGAATCATGTTATCGTTAGGAGATACTCTGACATTAAAATGTTGCCGGTATTTTCTCTGAGTTTGAATAATTGGCCTTTCATTGGAATAATAAAAAAAAAATCAATGAGGTTTACTCGTCACTGGACATCATACGAAAAATCTCCAAGAGAAGCTCTATAAACTGCAAATAGATAATGAAATAAATGAATAAAATAAAAATAAATAAAAAAAAGATTGAAAACGAACAAGTTATGACTTGAAATCTTCAGTTTTTAGTGGACACCCTATATATATATATATATATATATATATATATATATATATATATATATATATATATATATAAAAGTTGCAAATTAAAAACATAATAATGTTTTTTTTTGAAAAATATTTATTTGATATTTCAGATTGACCTCAATCTTTTATCAGAAATAACTGTTTGTAACAAATAAATTATTTCTGTTGAAAGATTGAGGTCAATCTGAAATATCAAATATATATATAAATAAATAAATACTTTCATAAATAACATTATTATTTTTTTAATTTGCAACTTTTTCTATATATATATATTAAGAAAGTATACGTGGCTTCTCATTATGCTATATATATATATATATATATATAGGTTTATTTATTTAAAAATTATAACATAAATATGTTATAAAATTTTTGTAGTGATTTTATAACATATTCATGTTATAATTTTTAAATAAATAATTATATCTGCTCGACTCTGTATTGAGCACCCTTAAGAATAGTAATTGTTGGTTATTGGAATTTATTCCGTATACACCAATCATATACTTGTATATATATATATATATATATATATATATATATGTGTGTGTGTGTGTGTGTGTGTGTGTGTGTGTGTGTGTGTGTGTGTTGTTTAAAATTTGCAATATGTATAAATGAAAGTGTGCTCAGTTTCGGAGATAGTGTTTTTAGATCAAGACTGTGTCAATAAGATTCAACACAAACGGGTGGCTTTCATTGCGGAAATCTAAGCCTTTGCAGACGCCATACTGGTGATTAAAAGTTTAATTAGATTACAGCTTTTTTGTTTTTGTCATATCGTGTAGAACGGGTTGGAAATTAAAGGAGTGGTTCGCTCGGACATTAAGTGGTTGTTATTTTCAAGAATAAATATCCTGTTCCGGTATTGTTAGAGTTATTGACAAACAGGACGAACACAAGTACCCACGTGTGCATCCTTACTAACAATGAGACAAATAAACACACACATGGAACAGATGCATACAACCAGACACTCAAATGCTCAACCATATACATTATTGTATATTAAAAAAAATACAGCCACATATATATATATATATATATATATATATATATATTGAAGAATTGAATGATTTTTATATATCAATCCGACATATTTTATTACTTAAACGTTACTTTTAGTGGATACCCATATTTAAGTAGACGCTCCGTTTATTTATTAAACAGTATATTTATTTATTTTGGTCTACCGGCCTGGGTATTCAAGAAATCTTATTAAAGAAAAATATGCGCTCTCTGGCAGGAATCAAACCCTTGCCTCTATTGGCAAAGAAACCTTCGTTAGAATATATATATATATATATATATATATATATATATATATATATATATATATATATATATATATTAGATGGCGACCAGATTAGAAGATGGACAATACTAAATTCAAAAACACGGAGAAGGCAACAGAAAATCGTTTCAAAGTTTCTTTCCAAAAAGAACCATGGCAGTTCACAGATGATAACGAACTTGAATCTGTGGAGAGCCACTATCGTCTACATGGTATCAAAAATATAAAATGAATTATATATATATATATATATATATATATATATATATATATATATATATATATATATATATATATATATATATATATATATATATATATATATATATATATATATATATATATATATATATATATAATAAAAACTATAATATAAAAGTGTAATTACACGAATAGGTGCATAAAAAGAAATGTAGAATATACGAATTTTCTCTCTTTATAAAAGCCACTGCCCGTTGCTTTGTTATTCACAAAACATGGCACGGTATCTTTTATTCTCAGTGCTTAGATACATTTTTTGATACTTTTCATGCAACACTCAAAAGTATGTCCGAATAAATTGTTATAATTTATAAGTTTTTCATTTCAACAAAATACATGAAAAAATATTACAAATTGGACTTATTTTCTATAAAAATTAAGTTATGCTTAAATATATATATATATATATATATATATATATATATATATATATATATATATATATATATATGAAAATTTCTTAGAGTTAACCTGTAGAAAAGACAATATTTATAAATATAAATAACAATAGGAAAACTGTAGTTATTGCTGACGCGTTTCGTCAGCAATAACTACAGTTTTACAATTGTTATATATATATATATATATATATATATATATATATATATATATATATATATATAAAAGATAGAACAGTCACATTTATAACCCAGAGTTCTTTTACATTTATTCTTAAAAATAGTGCTCGATACACAGTAGAGCATAATATTATAATTATTTAAAAAAAAATGTATTCATCGCGACATAGAAGTTACCATGTTTCGAAAGCAAAACTTAAATCTTAAATTAAATTTAAAGTTCAGTTCCATTTTCAAGCGATGTAGAATAACCTTCGAAAAAATGAATAATTTTATTTCGAAGGTGATCGTTTCATAAACAATATGGCTTTCATTTCCCTTTGGTCAACCGTCGACATGTTAACAATTATTGCGGAATTTGTATCAGGCTTTAGATAAGAACCGGAATGTCGAAGCCACGCCGTTCTTATCTAATGCTTTCGAAGGTGTTTCACAGGGTTTCACATGCTGGCCTTCTTCACAAGGGCTATGCTGCCTTTGGATGGATATTTGATCATACGAATGTTCTTAACGCTACTAGATTATTTCACATTCATGCGGAGGTATCCAGGGGTTTATCCTTGAATTTAAGTAGTTTCTCATTTTCATTAACCACCATCTCGATATCATCAGTTCCTTACTAGTTATTTATGCTGATGACACAACTAAACTGCCAACAAAAATCTTTCCAAAATTAACGTAGACATGACACTTTACAGTTGAAATGACTAGATGTAAACGTAAGTTTTATGCTAACAGTCTCTTTTCTCGCACCTTGCGCTTGTGGAACTCTCTTCCGTCATCTTGCTCTCCAGTGAAGTTTGATCTTTAATAATTTAAATGCAATGTCAATCGTTATCTTCTGTCTTCTTAATTCCTGTTCCTTTATTGTTCTCTCCCCGTAAAAATGTTTTACTTGTTCTCATATCTTTCTACACCTAGTAACCCCTTGCTTCTTAGTAGCTTTATTGCCTTGCTTGAGGTGAAATCATAAAGAAAAGCATATTTACATTTACTCTATTTTTAATGAATACTTCTTCCTTTTAGATTTATTTTTTCCAGTTAAATCCACTTTTTTTTTTGGTAAATTTTAAAAATTTTTACTCTAACCAGTTTTTTTTTTATTAAACCACAATTGTAATCATCGAGTTTACAATCGCGCACCTCAATAAGTTTTATGTTAACAGTTTCTTTTCTTGCATTTTTCCCGCTTCTTGCTGTCCAGTTACGTTTGATCTTCAATAATTTAAATGCAATGTCAATCGTTATCTTCTGTCTTCTTAATTCCTGTTCTTATATTGTTCTCGCTCTTTAATAATCTTTTTCTTTTTCTTAAATTCTTTCATTCTCAGTAAATGTCCCGTCTTAGTGGCTTCATTGCCCTTTCTGGCTTGATGTGAAATGATTAAAAAAAAACCCCCAAAAATCGACGATATATAGTTAATTTAATGATTAATTAGATTTTGTAAGAATACTTAAAGGGGAAAAACACGTGTTTCGAATGTGTTTCTATAAATTATCTGTTCAGTTCAAATTTGAAATCCGTCCTCGGGTATGGCGATAAACTACATCTAGCATCAAAGCCTTTGATCAGGAGATTGAAGCTTTTGAGGATCGTGGAACAACCTCTTAATTGCTGTTGTTTCCAGAGCCACCCTGACCCGGGGTGATAGCACCTGTTAGGGTCCCAGATATAGGCAAATATTTAACCCCTAAACTGGGGCGAAAACACTATGAAAGTATTAAATATTTTATAATAAAAATACCAACAATTTCATAGTAAAAAATTACCAGCAATACATTTCTGTAAGAAAAAATACCAACAAAATATTTTTATAACAAAAAATACCATTTTTTGTCAAAGAAATTACTAATGCCCTCAAGAAAATTAAATTTCAGTATCATATGACCCATGAGGAGTTGATAGGCTGCTAAACAAACAAATTTGAAATAAGCATTTGAGTCAGCTTTCCTTGGGATGTAAGTTTGTCATGGGACAGCTGAAAAATATGGGTGACCGAAAGCGACAAAATCTGATATTATCCACTGGAGACTTAACTGGCTGAAACATCGTGCTAAAAAGCAACAATGGTGACTAGTGTAATCCGAAAGATTCCTTGAATAGTAACAATTTATTTGCGTACAAAAATTATGAAAAATAAAAAAAAGAATGTGTAGAGAATAAAACGGAGATACTACGTAGATTCCAAGCCTTCAACTGGCAACAACTCGTTGCCAGTTGAAGTTCTGATACTAACTTTATTTATTTGTCTTTGATACATGGCCTTCGATATAAAAAAAATTCTATCTGATGCTGCTAAAAGATGCTATTTTAAGTAATACCCTTGATGTCTCTAATCTCCCTAACGAGTAAAACTATTTTTAAAAATTGCTTTCGTAATAAATACAATTGAGAAAGAAAGAAAGAAAGAAAGGACAAACGAAAGTAGGTGAGAGGGAGGTAGACACACGCAAAAAGGAGAGGAGGGGGGCGAGAGAGACAGAGAGGGAGGAATAATAACAAAAAAATGCATTTAAGGAGAGAAATAGAAGTGGTTGAATACAAGAAAGCTTGAAAAAAAGAGATGGAAATAAAGAAAATGAAAGATTAGATGAAGAAGGGAGAGAAATATGACGTGAGAGTGAGTGAGATAGATACAAATATAGAAAGAGAAGTTTATAGAGAGCGAAATAGAGAGAAAGACATTGGAACCAAGAATGACAAAGATTTATATAAACAGAGAAAAAGAAAGAATGAAAGAAAAAGAGTGATAGATAGATAGATAGATAGATAGATAGATAGATAGATAGATAGATAGATAGATAGATACAAAGAGAGAAAAACGACAGACAGAAAGAGAGAGAGACAAAGAAAAAAAAAGAAAAGAAACGAGATAGATAGATAGATAGATAGATAGATAGATAGATAGATAGAATGTAAAATAAGAAATAACAGAACGGAAGATGGATATAAGGAGAGAAATAGAGAAAGAAGGATGAATACACGAAGGCTTGAAAGAAAGAGACGGAGATAGAGAAAGAGAGAATGAATGATATCAGAAGAGAGAGATGGCGACAATAAAATAAATAGAACGAGACACATACAAAGAAAAAAAAGGGAGGCTATAAAGAGAGTAAGAAAGCTGCTGAAACAAAGGGAGATAAAGACTGATACAAAGAGAGAAAAAAGATAGACGGAAAGAAAGAGATAAAGAAAATAAAAGGAAAAAACGAGAGATTGATAGATAGATAGATAGATAGATAGATAGATAGAGAGAGAGAGAGAGAGAGAGAGAGGGGATATATATATATATATATATATATATATATATATAGAGAGAGAGAGAGAGAGAGGGGGGGGTAGATAGATATATAGAGAGAGTGTTAGCTAGCTACAAAATGAAGCAAAATCCGTAATTAATATTCCGCTTCCAGGTTTTATTTTTCACAAATTTCAGTGCTTCAGATCAAATAGTTCCAGGTTTTCTTACGCATTATAAATGTATTTATTATCAATGAAACGATTACCCAACTCGAGACTTAACATTATTTAAATTCTTAAAGCTTTTTCTTCATCTTAAGAGTTGGCTCCAATTCGGTTGATTTACGTATTTCAATCGTTTATAGACCTTAAGTACAAAAATAGATACGCACCTTATCTTTAAGTGTCAGTTGGTGGACATTTAATGAATAAAAATGCCATTATAAATTGTCGAAATCACGTCAAGAAATGTCATCAGGTTTTAGGATGGGCTGCTGACAGAAAAGCTGTTGATAAATCTATCAAAAGAGCTATGTGAGGAAATTTGAGCCAAAAAAAACATTTTGGCTCCTGAATGTTTCCGTGTAGAGCTTCTTTATTCTTTTATACCCCGTTTCCCTTCAGGACGTAGGCGATCATGGATCTCCACATCTTCCTATAGCTCTTAACAAGTTTTTTTTCTTTTTGTTATTTCTCCCAAACCCTTCTACTATATATTTACTCAAACTCATCATGTTACGCACTGATTTCCTCTGTCCATTTTCTCGCTCAATCTGTCCTGTGAGTATCAAATTTTCCAAGCCTACCCTCTTCATTATGTGCCCCAGAAACTTCAACTACCCTTTCTTGATGTTAAGTATAAGTTTTCTTTTTCTCTAAAAACTCATCGTTACTCACATGTCCGGTTCACGGTATCCTCAACATCTTTCTGTAGAACCGCATATCTGTTGGTTCAAGCCTCTTCTTCATCTTTACGGAGATCGACCAGCTTTCGCTGTCACACAGGAGGATAGACATCACGTAACAGCGTGTAAGTACAAAAATCTAAATATCTGAGAAGTGGATAAAAGCGTTGGTTGGATCCCGTGATCCAAAGAGTTGTGGGTTCAAAAATCTGGCTACTGCTGTGGAGAACAAAAAGTGGGGGAGTTGAGACATCAGGAAAAGGCATGAACTAGAACATTCTACTCCGGTGGATGAAATAAAGGGTTCAGTTCGAAATTTCAATCACTTGAAGAAGGCCGGAGTGTACGATAGCCGAAACGTCGTGAATATGGCAATAAAGATGAAGCCAACAGAACTGTAATTATATTGGAGAGTGAGATAAGTGTGGGTTAATTTCAAAAGCAAAATTCGTATGGTTCTTAAACATGAAGCAATACAAATAGTAAGTGATATTTCAAAATAACAGAAATAATTCTGTATATATATCTTTCTAAATGTATGGGAACTTTCTCGAGCTACTGATGAAAACCCTGTTTCTGTCTGAGTTTCTGGGATGAGGAATTATCATTACTTACATTCGGATTAATGTCCGCTCAATGTTGTCACGACCAGAACGTTTCAGCCGTTGCTCCCTCCTTCTTCAGGTGTCTGTCGATCCGTGTAACCTTCATGGAACTTCGAACTAAACCCCTTATTCTACTGGGTTAAATTGTTTCCGTCCCGCTGTCAAATGTCTTCCGATATCACGTCTTGTTCAATATTCAATACTGCTCGCTTATTTCTCGACCTGTTTCCACTGTGTACTATCTGTGGCTTACGGCCGTATCATGTTGAAACACCGGTTTCCGTACGATCACCGAAGTTAAGCAATGTCAATCTTGTTCAGTACCTAGATGGGTTACCGCTTGGGAATACCAGGTGCAGTAATCTGGTATATGTTGTGTGATGGATAATGGCTCAGAATTGTTAATCGGAGAGCAGAGTTCCAATTTCTGTTCGGGTTCGTTATAACGCGTAAATACCCTTAGGAATGGTATAAATCCACCTTTCTCCCCACCCATAGCTATCATTATCTAAAAAAATCTTACAATCTAAAAATATTTTCTGGCTTTAAATAACCTGCAAAGGGTTGATAAACCGTAGAAAACAAATCAATCAATATAATACCTGTCCCAGAGATTAAACTTACAATTAATATGTCAGCAGATTCAAGAATCTGCGTTTTATCCAATAGGCTGTTGTGCCGAAAGGCATCACGGCTGAAAAATTTTGATAATATCAAAGATGAGGATATTAGTCTAAATGTGAATAATTTAAATAACGAAACCACGTGGTTATCTTGTAGATTTTACGATTACAGGAAATAAAAATATAATTCATTTTTAACCACTTTTTTTTTAATATATCAAGCTTCTAGTCGGCACCTATCAATGATTTATAAGTTGGATTTGACGGTCACTTCGTGATTTTTGAGTAGCACAGTTGCTCAACTGCGTTAATAACTTATAATTAATATTAAAATGATATAAAATTTATATTAAATATAAATATTATATATATAATACCTATATATATATATATATATATATATATATATATATACTATAATTATATTCAATAAACTAAGAAAAGATGAAATGATTTATCATATACTAGATAAGTCACGTTTCTTGATTTATTGAATATTATTAATCTAGTTATCTATTAAGCGCTTTTTGATAGAAGTTTTGCTAGTCTGAAAAAAAAAAGACGTTAAGTTCTCGTAATTTTAACCTATTTTTCAGTTGTGTTATTATTATTATTATTATTATTATTATTATTATTATTATTATTATCTTTGATTTCTGTTGTATACACATTTCCTTCCGGGTCCTAACCAGAGACCTAAGGTCAGAAATGGCTTCATGACATTGTCCACTGATCATTTTTGTAAAAAAACCCCAAAAAACTAAGATCACACACATTTTACAGGCTACTAGGAATCTCTTCAATGAATGTATCGGAATCTTTTCCAAACAATCCGAGGGCTGCAACTACAACTGGAATTATTGATGTCCTCATGTGCCACATTTTTGAAATTTACATTTCAAGATCCTTGCACTTTGATAGTTTTTTGAAGATCTTCAAAGATAGATTAAAATTTGCAGGCATTGACATGTCAATAAGAAAGCACATTCTCTTATTGTGGTCTTTAATCACGATGTCTGGGCGATGAGATTTGATTTGTTCTCTCTCTCTCTGTGTATTGTTTAAGTCCCATAAAATTGTTATATGTCCTATCTCAGTAACCGGGTCTGGGTTAGATTCATACCAGTTTCTTGCAGTTTCCTTTGAGTAAATCTTGCATATTTTCCAGTGCAGATATTGGCCCACTCTATCATGCTGAGTTTTATATTCAGTTGATGCTAACACCGTGCAGCCTGATACAAGATGGTTAATTGTTTCTGCATCTTTATCGCAGAATCTGCATTTCGGGTTAACACAATTTTTCAGTATGTGTGCTTGGCAATTTCTAGTTATTATTATTATTATTATTATCACCGTTATTATTATTATTATTATTCTTAATAGTATAATATATATTATAGTGTAATTATACATACGATTAATATTATATATTACATTATTATTACATTATTACGTAAAGTAAGATTATATATATATATATATTTCAAGTACATACATATTACAAGAAAGAAAGAAAGAAAGAAAGAAAGAAAGAAAGAAACGATAGAGCAGGCAATAATGTTCTCATGTGTTTAACGTCTCCTTCAGAGAAATGGAGAAACTTGTCAATTTCAATTTTTTTTATACTCTCTTACTTCTTTAAGTAATGAACTGTGTTTATGTATATGATTGTTATTGCGACATTTTGTTAATTTTTTTAATTTGCTAAGCTCAAATATTTAACAACGGAATATGGAGATTTCCATGAGTATTCAATAGCCGTAGAATTCGGAAGGAGTTTATTCAATTATTGACTTAAGATTTAATGATTCACCAGAAAATTCAAACAGCAAAACCGTGAAATTTTCACGGTTATTACTAGTATTATATAATTTTGGATTAAACGTTACTGAGAACTATAAAACATAGGAAGTTGGGGAGAGTCATGATCGTTCACGCAATGAAGATGTATAGCATATAAAAGAAGATATCTGCTGCGTGAGTAAATTCGTTTTAATGTCAAGATAAATAAACTCATTTGAAAAGAGATAATAACGAAAGATTAAAAACTCCTCAAATGACATTGGTCAATAAAAATGAACTTCGCCAAAAAAGGTTATGCAATTTTTTTCATTCGAGGAAAACAAAGAAATTGGGAATGCTTGAAAACAAGGATGGTGTATAGCGGGGGATAAAAATAAAAATGGGAAGACAGTTTGAAAAACAATTGGCAAGAGGCGTGGGGGGGAATGAATGGCATGCGAATAATGTGACAAATGCTTTGAATTCGAGACTTGACATGTCCAACAGGGAATGTCACGGAAGAAGATACTGCTGCACTGAATTTCCTTGAAACCTCAGAGCAATTCAACTTTTGATCGGTCAAGGCAAAACACTCCTGAAAATATTTATTTTTAAAATGAAGGTTGTTAACACTTACATTTGCCGGAAAGACGTTCATCATGCAAGGAAATAGAGCGAGGCTGGAATACAAAGATACAACGCCCAATATATCCATCATGGCAACCAACGTGATAAGGCTATACAAGGTGTCATGATATGTATTATCATTATTGAATGGGACAAAATGACGCTGAGATACAAATATACGAAGCCTAATATACTCATCATAACATCCAGTGTGATAAGGGTATACAAGCTGCCATCATGGGTATAATCATTACTGAATGAGAAAAACTGACACTGAGTTACAAATATATGATATACCCATCATGGCACCCAAATTGCGCAATATGGTGACTGCACATAATGCAGCGGATTTTCTTGCAGGGGTCCAGTTAAATATACATTCAAGTCTGCTATTATCGTCTGTTAAGACAGTACTTGATTGATAGCGTTCTCAAGCACCTAGATGTAACTTCAATTTGGCTGTTTTCTTCTTCAAACCTAAAAACCCCAACCCTCTTGACATCTAGCCATAATACTCCTAACTCGTCCTACTCGTGAACATATATGTACAGTTCGTAAATCCCTACGGGACATGCCACTGACAAGTACGACTATGATACCGAAGAGTACATCTTAATTGATCATGACTAGGCATCTACATAATAAAACCTCTAATCAATTAAGACCAGAAGCCTAGAGATACATTCTTAGTATAGCATCAAGGTATTTATTATTATTATTATTATTATTATTATTTTATTATTTGATATCCTCTCTGATGTTTTGGCCGTGTTATGATGTTGATTTGGGGTTAGTAAAGACAAAAGCCAAATAACACGTAACAATAAAAAGGGGTTTATTAGGTTGGTAAGTAGGTACAGAAATCGCCTGAGTAGTCTATAACTAGCTCAGCCAAGAACTTCTCCGACTCTGTCTTTTGACATGCCACTATTT